GGAGGATTGGGAACATGGTGCAACTCATGGTGATGGTGACGATTAGGGCTATCGGTATCGTCGCTGTTGATGGTGATTCTGATGCTGCCGCCATTGATGGCGCTGCTGATGATGTTGATGATGGTCTTGGCGATCGGATGATGAGGAGGAGGAGGAGGTGGAGGAGGAGGAGGAGGAGGCATGAGAGAAGTTTCGGGAAGATTGGAGCGACGGGAGGAGGGAGGCAGGGGAGGAAGCAGGAGGATGGATGAGGAGGAGGAGGAGGACCAGTGTAAACCCAAGAGTCATCAACGATGTTGGAATGAACCCCCTCTCCAAGCTCCCTCTCCGTAGGCCCCTACAACGGTTCATTTCCATTGAGGGAACTGCCTCGTTGGAAGACAACCGTTTGAAGATCCAGAAGCGTGCAAAACATTGCTCTCAGGATGTCAAGGCCACGTATCAACCTGACTGCTGCGTCTTGATGATCCCGGAATCGTGCCAGAAAGCCATTTTGGGGAATTCAGCACCGCGAATCAACATAATTGTTGCGCCCGCATAATCATGAATCCTTCCAAAACACTATTTCTGGAACGTTGACCATGGGACTCCGTGAAACTCTTGCAATTTTTTGTGAACAAAAAATGCGCGGCGCTGAGGCGAGAACAGCATTTTGGAAACGACTCGCCCTCAATCCGCGAAGCTCTTGCAAATGTTGAAAACGAATGTGCGCGGCGCTTAGGCGAGAGCTTCATTTTTAAAATGAGCTGCCCTGAATCCGTGAAGCTCTTGCAATTGTTTAAGACGAATGTGCGCGGTGCTAGGGCGAGAGCCACATTTTGAAAACGACATGCCCATCCGTGAAACTCTTGCAAATGATTGAACGAATGTGCGCGGCGCTAAGGCGAGAGCCACATTTTGAAAACCACCCGCCCTCAATCCGTGAAGTTCTTGCAAATGTTAAAAGCGAATGTGCGCGGCGCTAGGGCGAGAGCCACGTTTTGAAAACCACCCGCCCTCACTCCGTCAAATTCTTGCAAATGCTTAAAGCGGATGTGCGCGGCGCTAAGGCGAGAACCACATTTTGGAAGCGACCCGCCCTCCATTTGTGAAACTTCTATCACTTTTTAAGCTTCAGAATCATAAATGGTGAGGAGGTCTCAGGCGAAGCGCCCGGCCCGCCCTAAAAATTTGCCTCGGGGTGCGACAGGGAGAAGTTGTTTACAAGGAGAAGGAATGGAGGAGGATGAGGAGACAGGAAGAAGGAGGAGGAGGAAGAGGAGAAGGAGGAGGAGGGGGAGACAGGAGGAGGAGGTGATGGAGGTAGCAGGAAGAGGGGGAGAAGGATGAGGAGGAAGAGGAGCATGGAGGAGGAGGAGATGGAGGAGGAGGAGGATGGAGGAGGAGGAGGAAGGAGGAGGAGCAGGAAGGGGACGGAGGAGGAGAATCATGATGATGATGATGATGATGATGATGATGATGATGATGATGATGATGATGATGATGATGATGATGATGATGATGATGACGATGACGATGATGCTGATGATGATGATGATGATGATGATGATGATGATGATGATGATGATGATGATGATGATGATGATGATGATACTAATGATCATGATGATGAGGAGGAGGAGGAGGACCAGTGCGAACCCAAGGCTCATCAACGATGTTGCATTAGCCCTTCCTCAACATTTCCTATTCATGGGGTTCTATTCCGTTTTTCTTCCATTGCGGGAAGAGCCCCGTTGAAAAACATCCGTCATAAGTAGAATTCTTGGGGCTTGCATCATAGCAGAAGCAGCTTCTGGGACGCAAGCACGGCGAATCAACGTTCTGGTCGCGCCTTGACGAGTTTAAGCCGTGCCAGAAAGCCATTGCTGGGACGTCAACCAGAAGAATTAGTGACACGGCTGTAAACTGTTAAGACGATTGTGCGCGGCGCTGAGGCGAGAGCCACATCGTAAAACAGAGCCGTCCTCCATGCGTGAAGCTGCTACAAACTTGTCAGACAAATATGCGCGGCGCTACCGCGGGAGCCACACCTTGAAGACGACCCGCCTTCCACCCGTGCAACTCTTGCAACCTTGTAAGACGAATGCGCGCGGCGCTAAGGCGAGAGCGGCTTGTGCAACCAGACGGTCCTGAATCGTGCTAAGCACAATTTCTGGGACGTTACCACCGCGACTCAACATGACTGTCGCGCCCCGACAATCCTAATCCGTGCCAGAGCATAATTCCGGGGTCGCCGACCATAAGAATCAGTGGAACCGGGTCGCTGTAAACTGTGAAGACAAACGTGCGCGGCGCTACGATGAGAGCCACATGTTGAAAAGGAGCCGCCATCCATCCGTGCAGCCTTTGCAATTGTTGAAGACGAATGTGCGCGGCGCTCAGGCGAGAGTAACATTTTGAAAACCGCCCGCCCTCCATCGGTGAGGCCCCTGCGAACTGTTAAGACGAATGTGCGCGGCGCTCTGGCGAGCTCCACATTTTGAAAAGGAGCCGCCCTCCATCCTTGAAGCTCTTGCAACCTTTTTAAAAAAATTATTGTGCGCGGCTCTCAGGCGAGAGCCACACTTTGAAAACCACCCGCCCGCCCTCCATCCATGAAACTTTCGCAAGTTTTTAAGACGAATGTGCGCGGCGCTAAGGTGGGAGCGACATTTGAAATCGACCCGCTCCCAATCCGTGAAGTTGCTGCAAATTTCAAGCTTCAGGATCAGGAGTGGTGAGGAAATCTCCGGCGAAACGCCCGGCCCGCCCTACGGCCCAGTCTCGGGGTGCGACACGGAGTTCTTGAGGAATGGAGGAGGAAATGGAGGATGAGAGGAGAAGGGGGTGGAGGAGGGGGACTCACCTCCTTCCCCCTCCGCCTCTGAGGTACTCATTGCCGTTACTACCATCGTCTTTGCCGTCTTCCTTCTTTCCTTCTCTTCGTGCCTATTGGTTTTCTCTCGCCCTCGCCGATTGGCGGGAGGGCTCCAGGGCAGCTCCCACCGAGGCTCAGATGCCCGCAGTCTTGAGTCTTGAGGAGGAGGAGGAGGAGGAGGAGGAGGAGGAGGAGGGAAGGAGGAGGAGGAGGCGGAGGAGGCGAGGAGAGCGGAGGAGGAGGAGAAAGGAGGAGGAGGAGGAGGGGAAGGATAGAGGTATTGATGAGGAGGAGAAGGATATGAAGGATGAGTAGGATAATGAGGAGGAGGAAGAAGAGGGGGAAGATGAGGAGATGAGAGAGGAGGAGGAGAGAGAAGAAGGGGGATGATTATGATGATGATGATGATGATGATGATGATGAGATGTTGATGATGATGATGATGATGTGTGATGAATGATGATGATGATGATGATGATGATGACGGAGGAGGAGGAGAGGGAGGAGGAGGAGGAGGAGGAGGAGGAGGCGGAAGCTGCGGTCCGAGGCCCGGCGCTTTGCGATCATAGCGCTGCTCGGTGCCGGGGCGCTGCTCCTCGTGGTGGCCGCCCACTGCATGAAGGACGGGCCGCGCCGCGCGCGCGCCGACGAGCTGCGGACCGAGAGGCCCCGGCGGCGCGCCAGAGAGGGAAGGGTCTTCCTCCTCCGCCTTCTCCTCCTCTTCTTCCTTCTTCTCCTCCTCCTCCTCCTCCTCGCTGGATGACTCTGCTCCAGTACGGCGGCGAAATCCGAACCCCACCCCGAAGTTTTTGGCGTCTCCGTCAGCCCTCGGCGGCTTTTCAGCCTCGGGATGCCCTCCAGCGGCCGCGCCCCGCCGAGAGCGTTCCGGGGCCGCCCGGATGGTCCCGAACGGCCGCCGGAGGCCCGAGTTAGGACCCGAAAACCAGTAGGGGGCCAGCACACTCGCCGATCAACGATTCGGGCAACTCGATGGGCGGCGGGGGCAGGGCTCGGAATTCGTCGGGCACGTGGGAAGGGCTTCTCAAGGGCGGAGGCTCCTCTCGCGACGACTCGTTCTCACGTGGCAGCTTCAAGGTGCAAGCAAGAAGTTCGCGCTGAGACCAGTTTCGCCAGTGGGTCTCGCTGGTCCGCTGTTGAGTTGTGACCCGAAAGCCAGACGACGAAGATCACTCGGATTGCGGTCGGGAGCGTTTGTTTCGCGTGCCGCGCCGCCGGTTCTGGCCCATGTTTCGGCGCGACACGCTATCCGCGTCCCCATTCCCAAGCGTCCGAGTCCCGAGAGGCTCCGCCCCGCGGAGCGGAGCGGCACGATATCCGCTTGCAAAGCGTAGCGCGTCGCTGAGGCCGCCGCCGCGACACGCCAGGCGAGAGTTCCCGACCGTGGATCGGCTTAGATCCAGACAGATCGGGGCAGGTCCAGAGGTCGAGGGGAGATCGGGGAGGAGGCAGGTCCAGGCAGATCGGGGCAGATCGGGGCAGGCCCAGACAGATCGAGGCAGGTCCAGAGGAGCCACCGCGTGAGGTCGCCGTGCCATCTCGCGAAAGACACGGAGCGGCGTGGGCCCGCCGCGCGGGCACCCACCTCGCAGAGCCACGCCGCGGCGTGCGAGGCCGGCCCGCGCGGAGCGCCACAGGTCGGGACGAGCCGCCGGCCCGCGGGGGTCCGCGTGTCGACAGAGTCACGACGTCGGGGTTCTGGGGCTGTGGGCGGAGGGACGGAGAACGGCACGAGCACGAGCTTCTGGAGCTCTGCGCGGGGCTCCGAAGGTGTGTGTGCCTGTGCCGTGTTCTGTTGCTCGAGAGGGTGGCTTCCCCTCCTCGGGGGGCGGGCAGGCGTCCAGATTCGCCGCTCCTCGAGGCCCTGGGCGCACGGACTCCAGGTGCGGCGGACGCGGGCTCCAGCGGTGCTCCGCTCAGTTCGAGGGCCCCCTCCCCACCCAGGCTTCTCTCGTGTAAGGGCCCGGAGGCATCTTCTGTCCGTCGACTCACGCTGGAGCTGCCGCGAGCTCCCCAGATCTATCTGGCCCCCATGGGGGACCGAAAGCAGTGTTCAGGGGCGGCCTAACCGACCCCTATCAGACCATCCCCTTCCGTGACGCCTCCCTCGCCTCGCCCCAAGACGTATACGCACTCCTGCCTAGGCACCATCCCCTCCGGCCGCACACACATGTGTGTGCGGCCAGAGGGAAGTTTCAGAGGAGAGGGGGACGTCACGGAAGGGGACGGTTTGCTAGCGTTCGGTTAGGCCGCGCCCGAAGTGTCCCGAGCCCGCAGTCGTGACCCGTTCCACGCCGCGGGGAGGCGGGGGTCTACCGCTCGACCAGGGCCCCGACGCGAGGGGGTGAGAAGGAGGAGGATAGGGGGGAGAAGGAGGAGGGGGTGAGGAGGAGGGGGAGGATGGGGGAGGAGGAGGAGGAGGAGGAGGAGGAGGAGGAGGAGGAGGAGGAGGAGGAGGACGGAGGAGGAGGAGGGGGGAGGGGAGGAGGATGAGGACCGCTCACTAGGGCCCTGTGGCGAGGCCAACAGAAGGCTGTGAGAGAGTGGGCGGCCCCCGGCGGCGCAAGAGGGCAAAAGGGCCAAGTTGTGTGCCCCACGCCTCTCGAGAGGCTCGGCGACTTCTCGGAAGGCCTCCTCCTCCTCCTCCTCCTCCTCCTCCTCCTCCCACACCACAAGATTCAAGACTGCACATCTGATCACTGGTGGGAAGGTGCCCTGAACCGTCCCTCCTCCCCATCCGCCCTCCCCCTCCTCCTCTCTCCTCCTCCTCCTTCTCCTCCCCCTCCCCTCCTCCTCTCTCCTAATCCTCCTCTCCTCCTCCTCCCCTTTCCTCCCCCCCCTCCTCCTCCTCCTCCTTCCTCCTCCTCCCCTCCTCCTCCTCCACCACCTCAAGATTCAAGACTGCGGACATCTGATCACTGGTGGGAGTGCCCTGAAGCCGTCCTCCTCCTCCGCCATCCGCCCTCCTCCTCCTCCTCCTCCTCCTTCTCCTCCCCCTCCTCCCCTCCTCCTCCACCTCCCTCCTCCTCCTCCTCACTCCTCCCTCCTCCTCCTCCTCCTCCCCCCTCCTCCTTCCTCCTACCCCTCCTCCTCCTCTCTTCCTCCTCCTCCTCCTCCTTCTCCCCGTCCTCCTCCTCCCTCCTTCCTCCTCCTCCTCCTCCTCCTTCCCCTCCTCCTCCTCTCCTCCTTCTCCCTCTCTCCTCCCCTTCCTCCTCTCCTCTCCTCCTCCTCCTCCTCCTCCTCCTCCTCCTCCTCCTCCTCCTCCTCCTCCTCCTTCGCCTCCTCCTCCTCCTCCTCCTCCTCATCCGCCTCCGCCTCCGCCTACTTCTTCTCCTCCTCCTCCTCCTCTTTTTTCTCCCTCTCCTCCTTTTTCTTCTCCTTCTTTTTCTCCCGACCCCTGGAGCCTGTCCCCTCTAGTCGGGGGCGTCCACTGGCCACTCTACCGATCCTGGCCAGGCCGATCCTGGGCCCAGGATCGGTGCATGTGCCATCCTGCCCTGGCCAAGGAGGCGCAGACACTTTATCTTGGGCCCAGGATGGGCCGCGAGGTGGTCGGTTGCCGGCCTCCGATTCTGTGAGATTCGCCGTTGCGAAAAATTGCAACTTTCTGAAAAATCACGAACGGAGCCCTGCGTCCCATTTTTCTGCGGCATCATTCGAGCCAAGTCGATCTGTGATGGTCTTTGGGCCCGAAGCCAGGCGAAAACGGCCGGTGTGAAGAACATGCAACGCCTGGATCTCAGGGGACGTCCCCCGATTTGGCGCGACGCAAAGGCTGTTCCCCAGCTTCCCGGCGCTGCACTTCCCGTGGCAGAAGCCTGCACCCCCCGTGGTCGACGTCGCGGCCCAGCAGGCGGCCGCGCTGGCTGCCCAGCAGGCGGCCCAGCAGGCGGCCGACCAGGCGGCCCAGCAGGCCGGCCAGACGGTCACCGACGCCATCGAGACAGGAGCCGCCTTGGAAGGAGCAGGTCCAGAGGGAAGAGCGTCCGGCAGACTGTTCCGAGGAGGAAGAGGCACCGGTACCGCTGCCCTTGCCGCGCGTTCGTCTTTCCAGCGCCTCCTTTGGGAGGCCCCCGTCGCCACGGCCGGATTCGCCTCGGAATTCCGAGCAGAGCGCGCCCGTCCAGGGAGCAGCTGCACGGGTATCTTGGTTCGCCCCCCCAGTCTCTCCCTGCTCTCGTGTCCCCAGCGCTCCCCTCCAAGGCCCCAGCGTCAAGGGACGACGCAGGATGAGGAGCTGGTCCCGGGGAGAGCCCCTGGGGTTCGAAGGAGACGAAACGGCACAAACACGGACCGTCGGAGGGCCGTGCGGATTTATGGGACCAGCGCTGGGCCCCTCTCCCTGGCTGCGCCCTCTGGCGCCGCCCCTTGCGCGATTTCTCCGGCAGCCTCTGTTCATTCCGCTTTTCTTGTTGTTTCTCTCCTCTGGTGAAGATCTACTCCTGGGGACAGCCCCCAGCGCTCCAAGACCCGTTTCTTAGGAGGAAAATCCTGGAGACCTCGCGCTGCGCCCCATGGTTGCATTATCCAGTTCGCGCGCGATGTTCCCACGCAACCCGAATCCGACGTAAAACCGACGTGAACCCGACGTGGATCCGACGTGAATTGGGTCTCAAGTTGCCGCGCGAGGCCTCCAGGATTTTCCGCGTAACGTTTCTCTCAGGGCCCGCCTCTCTCGTGGCAGCAGGAGCCGACGCGGCGGGTGCCGTGGTGGACGCGGCCGCGGGCGGGGCTGCGGGCCAGGCCGCAGCGGCGGCCACGGACGCGGACCCCTGCGCGGGGCTGGCGTCCGTCGACTGCCAGACGGGCCTCTTCGAGTCTGGCTGGGTCGACGGCTGGACGGACCAGCAGATGGACTTCAGAGTAGGAAAATCGAAGACGAGAAAAAGGCATAAGCACAGACTTTTGGCGCTCCGCGCGGATTTCTTGGGTCCGCGCTGGACTACCCTGGCAGCGCCTCTGGCACCGCCCCTGGCGCGCTCCGCGCGCCAAGGAGGGCGGTCCAGCGCAGATCCAGGAAATCCGCGCGGAGCGCCAAAAGTTTATGTTTTGCTTTTCTATAAAAAATACGGACACCGCTACAGTGGAAACCCATACCAAGAAACGCCCTGCTTGCCTCCAGGGTGTCCTGGGCTTCTTGGGTTTTGATAGTTCTGCGATGGAAAGCGTGACGCTCCCACACCAAACATCAATGGACGTCCTGGGGTCTCAGGGTTGGGTGTCTTGTGGAAGGTTTCTTGTGGAGTAAGAAATGGTACTGATACCGCTACCCTGGCCTCGCTTTTGCTTGCTTGGTCTTCCTCAGAGTCCCTCGTCGCCAAGGCCGGATTCGCCTCGGAGTTCTGGCCAGACCGCACCCTGGGTTAGGTCCAGGGAGTAGCTGTATCAGTACTTTTTGGTTTCCGCAGGACTGCTGCTGCAAGACCTACAAGATTGCCTGCAGGGAGCCGAGGAGGCTGAATTTCTACATGTACCGCGCGCAGAGCGACGACGATTATCCCGCGATGAACATCAACATGGGGGACTTGCCAGGCGTCCTGTGGTATCTCCACAACGAGGTGATCGTCTCAACACCCAGGAAGTTCAACATCTCCAGGATCAACCGCTTCCGCGTGACGATGAAGACCACGCAGGATACGTGGAGCCCAAATATTTACACAATATGATACTGCCACTTTGCGTGACCCCGCAAGCCCGTCCAAAAGCGATCCTTGGGCGAGTTACCTTGATCAGGGAAGTGTAGCAATACGCTGTGGAAGAGATATGTATATGCCTTCGCGGCTCTGTCGAATGAGAAGGACAGAGGAGGAGGACTAGGAGGAGTAGCAGGATGAATATGAATATGAATGTGAGTACGGCTATGATGACGGTGACGATGATGATGATACTGATGATGATGAAGATGATGGTGATGGTGATAGTGATGATGATGACGACGATGACGATGCTGATGCTGCTGATGATGACGATGCCAGTGACGATGATTATGCTGATGCTGATGCTGATGCTGATGCTGCTGATGATGCTGATGCTGATGGTGGTGATGCTGATGATGGTGGTGGTGGTGGTTATGCTGCTGGTGAGGATGATGCTGACGGTGATGCTGATGATGCTGATGCTGATGATGATGAGGAGGAGGAGGAGGAGAAGGCGAAGAAGGAGGATGATGACCATGACGATGACGATGATGACGATGATGATGATGATGATGATGAGGATGATGATGGTGATGATGATGTTGTTGATGATGATTACGCTGATGATGCTGATGATGATGCTGATACTGATGATGCTGATGCTGCTGATCATGATGATGAGGATGCTGATGATGATGGTGGTGGTGGCGGTGGTGGTGCTGCTGCTGATGATGATGATGATGAGGAGGAGGAGGAGGAGGAGGAGGAGGAGGAGGAGGAGGAGGACGAGGATGATCAGGAGGATCAGGAGGATCAGGAGGAGCAGGAGGAGCAGGAGGAGGATGAGGAAGAGAATATGGACGAGGACGAGAGGACGAGGAGGAGTAGGAGGAGGAGGAGGAGAAGGAGGAGGAGGAGGAGGACGAGGAGGAGGAGGAGCAGGAGGAGGAGGAGGAGGAACAGAACTATGAGGACGAGGATAAGGAGGACAAGAAGGAGAAGGAGGAGGAGGAGGTGGACGAGGACGAGGACGAGGGCGGGGACTAGGACGAGGACGAGAAGTACGAGGACGATAATAAGGACCACGCTGACGAGGGCTCGCAGGGCCATCTTGGAGTATTCTTGGGCCCCCCTGGGTACCCCTTGGGGCTATCTTTGGATCGTCTAGGGGTTCTTTTGAAAGGTCGTGGGGTCCTCATATAGCTCTTTGGGGGGGGTCTGGGGGTCCTCTTGATGGGCCCTCTTGGGGCTCGCTTGGACTCTCTTGGGGGTCTTTTGGAAGTCCTGGAGGGCCTCTTGGGGCTATCGTGGAGGGCGTCGGTGAAAAGAGAGGGGTCCTGACGTTTAGCCCCTCCCCCTGGGGCCCTCGAAGTCGTCCTTTGGGGCCATCTTGGGACGCTCTTTGGGCGATCGTGGGCGGTCTTGGGGCCGTCTTGGGGGTCTCTGGGGCCATCTTGGGGCTCTCTTGGGCCATCATGGGGCTATCTTCAGGCCTTAAAAGCGCATCGGAATCAAAGCAGGCGAGACGGCATCCAAAAAGTGTGTTTTCAGGTGTTTGAATGATCTGGGCTTCTTAGGGAGGTCCCGAGCGGGCTCCGGGAGCACTTGGAACCGTCGTGTGGCTCTCTTGGGGCCTTTTGAAGGCATGTTGGAATCCATCTTGAGCGATCGTCGGCTATCTTGGGCCATCTTGGAGGCCACCTTGGAGCATGGGGAGCCCTCTTGGAGCCATCTTGGGCGAAACAGGATCCTGTGACTCCTCGCGGCCACCCCCGTCCCGATCCAGGGGCAGGGGGTAGGTGGAGGGGTAAACCCCTCCCCGAAGGGGAAGAAGGAGAGAAGAAGAGAAAACACCCTAAATCACCTCCGCCCAGAGGGTTGGTGGGATTCCTCTTTCCCCCCAGCAAAGATGAGAGAAACATGAGGGTGGACTGGACGGCGGGAGTGGAAATTGGATAAATAGGGGTGATTAAGACAAGGGTGAGAAGGATGGAATGTGTAAGCAAGGTGGGAAAGCGACGAAGGGGAGGGTTCAGGGGAGATGCACGGGGGATGTGCAGTCTGGATGCTGAAAAAAGGAGCGCTCTTGGTTCAGGAGGGACTCGTTGCTCATTGCTCCTTGGGGCTCAGGGGTTCTTCCTTAGGGTCCCAGCTGAACATTTCAAGCTAGTTTAGGAGAAACCGTATTTTGCTTCTGGTCAGCCTCGGTAGCACAAGGCGTTGACTATATACGGTCAGGAACGGTTCTAGCCCACCACGCTTTGGCGCAACGCGCTAAACGAGTCTCAGTCCCCAAGCATGAGCGCCTCGAGCTTCTCCCAGCCTGTCGTCTCACGAAACAGAGAGACACGCTTTCAGCTTGCAGGGTATGGCGGGTCGCTGGGGCCACAGCCGCGACACGCGAAGTAAATCCGTGACACACCTGGAGGAGAACTACGAGAAGACGAAGCGGCAGCTCGCAGAATTCACCGCCTTCGACTCCGGGAAGTGCACCGTACCGGGCTGCGAGGCAGTCCTTCGGGAGGGGGAGGTGGTGGAGGAGGAGGGGTTACGGGGAGGAGGAGGAGGAGGGGAGGAGGAGAGGAGGAGGAGGAGAGGAGGATGGAGGGGAGGAGGAGCGAGGAGGAGGAGGGAGGGGGGAGAAGGCGGAGGAGGAGAAGGAGGAGGGGAGGGGGGAGGAGCAGGATGAGGGGGAGTGGAGGAGGACGAGGAGGAGGAGGAGGAGGAGGGAGGAGAGGAGGGAGGAGGAGGAGGAGGAGGGGAGGAGGAGGAGAGGAGAGGAGGAGGAGGAGGAGGAGAGGAGGAGGAGGAGGAGGAGGAGGAGGAGGAGGAGGAGGAGGTGTGTAGCCAGTTCGGCTCAAGTTTGAACCCGTATCGCGGGGCTTTGAGCTCTGGTCCCTGCCGCCGTGCGACAAACACCACCAAGTTTTCCCCAGCAGCGGGGGTCGCGCCGCCCTCTTTCTGGCTGGATAGCCAGATCAATGATTTTGTCTGGCCGCCATGCACAGCGATGGGGCCTCACGAATCGCAACCTTGGTGGCTCAAGCGCCCGCGCACAGGGCGCGTTCTGGCTCCTCACATCGCACTCCTCCCCTCATGGCTTGCGCACATGTGGACTGCCCCCTCTTTGGTGCGCTCCTGGCCTGGGCCGATGCCGGCGCTGCGGCCAGGCGCTGCCGGGCGCCGGGCGCCCCAGCTGCCGCCGCTGCGGCGGCCAGGCCGCCGCTGCCGCCAGGACTTCCCACTCCAGGCGTCGGCCCTGCGGCGCCTGCCCCGCCGACTGACCCGGGCCAGGCACCGCCAGCGGGCATTGACACCGGCGCCACGCAGGGCACGGCGGCCCTGGGGATGGTCGTTGACGAGGTCGACTCCGCGAGCCTGCAGAACCCGCTGAGCCACGTAGAGTCTTCCCTCCTAAGGGGCTGGCTTGAGGACGACGTCCTCGCCCACTTCCCTATCGTCCAGGCCACGGTCGCCGCCCAGCCCTCCCTGCATGAGACCGCATTCGCGTTGCCTGGGGGCTGGGCTGGCCTCGATGCTATCCTCCAGAAGCTGGGGTACCACGTGGATTCTGCCGACCATTGGAAGGCCTTCGGCTTCGCCCTCTACGAGGGTCCCGACCCGACGGAGCAGGCCTTGGTCGCTTGCCTCCGCACGGTCAAGTACCTTTGCTCCCTCGCCTCCTATGGCAAGTGGGCGGAGTTGGATAGTCAGCGGGCCCAGACGGTGGCGGCCAAGCTCACCCGTGACGCTGCCAAATGTGTACACGACCTTCCCGAGCTTCTCCGAGCCCGGCGTGCTATCAAGTCAAGGCCCCCAGGCTGCCCCTCTGGAAGGAGCTCGGCCCAGACGGCATGCACATGCTCCGCGAGACCACGAATTTCGCCAACGACAAGCAGCTTCTGAACTGGTCCTCCATCCTCACTCCCTCCCTGGAGGCGGTGCATGTCCAGGAGGCGCGCACGGTGGTTGCGCTCTTGGAGAAGGGGGATGTCAAGGTCTGGGAGCAGCTCCGGGGCCTGGCGATTACCGTGTGGACCCCTGCGGACAACAATGCCCTCACTCGCCTGATCTCTGTCCTGCTGCGCAAAGCGGGCTCGGCTGACTGCCCGGTCAGCGTGCGCTTCGTGTCCCCCCTCCCGCTGAACCATGGTATAGACTCGGTGGAGAACATCATGGATCAATGGTGGTCCCCGCTGCTAGGCGAGAAATGCATCGCCCTGAGGAAGAGCGTGTCCTTCGTGCCTCACCCATTTGACAGGGCGCAATAGCCCACGCCACACGCGGATGGGGCTTGCCGTCATGCAGTTGTCCTTCACAGGTGCTTGTTCGACTCCGGGGATACACGATTTCGGGCCTTCCATTTTGAAGCTGGACCCGGCCACGGCCACGAGGGTTGACATGCTAGCGGATCACCTCACCACTTTCTACGCCATCTTGCGGGTCCCTCTGCTGGTAGGTGTGCTCTGCCGCGCCCCCCAGCGCAGCCAGGCAAGTACGCCTGAGGTGCCGAGGATCACGGTGGACCTCATTTTCCCTTCCACCCAGCCCCCAGTCACCCACTGCCTCCAACTCCGTCATCTTCGGCGCGCGACTCTCCCTCACTCCACGTTCTTCGGTTCCACGCTCATGTTCGGCGACCCCGACGCGATGATCTTGGAGTGCAACAGCCCGCATGCCTTGCAAACTTGCTGGCCCCTGTGCACGCAGGTCGTGGTCCTGCCGAACGGTCGATCTTCTGGATCGTGGTATGCTTCGCGACCCCAGCGCGACCGCCACCAGGCTGAAGTGGAAACCATACCGCTTCGGCGGCCGGGCGGTCGCCTGCCCCTCCGTGGTGCCGAGCGCGCTGGCGGCGCCCCGGCAGAAACCGAAACCACACAACAGCGTGCACGACCACATCACAGACATCAGGGTTATGGGGGATGTGGGCAGGGAGGACGCGCAGGTGTTACGGCGCATCCTAGCGCACGCCATCGGGATCACCAGGCTGCAGCTCACCGAGACTGCCGGGGACGCCATGCCGAAGCCTGGTGAGTTCTACCACCTCGCCTCGCGCGACGAACACGCTCCCCCTGGTCGTCTCCGCTTGCTTCTCCGGGAGGCCGACGAGGTCCATGCCGCCCTCCACGGCCAGACGGTTCAGGTCGGCACGGACAAGGTCGCGATCGAGGTCGTGAACAGCGCCCTGGCCCCGGAGTCGCTTCCGGGAAAGGGGGGGCGGTAGTGCGGCGCGACACTATCGATTACTACCGTGCGGACCAGAGGTGTCATGCAGGCTCTGGGGAGCCTCGAATTTATTGCACGACCGAGTTTGGCGAGAGCCTCCTTCTGGTGGACGTCGTTTTCTGGATCCGTCCCGCTCAGGCGGGGCCGTGCCAGGTGGGCCGCGCGTGCCAGCCGTTTCCCCCCGCCGCCACCCATGAGACCAACGACCGACTTCTCCCTCATCTTCTGCCGGCAACGCCTCCTGCGTGCGCTTGGGCACCTTCCTCCCGCTCCGATCAGTACACCCTCCCGGTCTTCTCCGCCTCCCGGTCTTCTCCGCCTCCCGGGGCAGGCATCTTGATCAAAAGTATCCAAGCGCGAGTTCCTGACTGGCTGCTTCTAGGTACGTTGGTGGCTGTTTTATTCGGCGCCATCCGGGCGAGCTTTTTGCCGAGTGCGTGGAGCTGAAGAGCATCGCCGGAGATGTCTGGCGCCAGGGCTCGGTCCTGCCCAATCGTATTTTGAGATCGCGCCCGCGCGGGGGCCAGTGCTTCGAGCCGCGCCCGTTCTCTCTCAGCGTCTCTCTCATGGTTTCCAATTGGCACTTCCTCGGGCCCTTCCAAGTTCGCCAACAAGTTGCCCCGAGTGCAGAAAACGAAAATGATGCCTTGCGAGCCCTAGATGGGGCCCGCCGAAGTAAGCTCCAAAGACGCCCTGACCGCGCGGTGGTTTGCGCGCCGCCGCTGTCGCCCTTCGACCGCCGCGTGCCCCTTGAAATTGCTCGGCGCGCTGGAGGGGCCAGCTCGTCGCTCGTCGAGAAGCTTTTCTTCCATCCGAGTACGGAGGGGAAGGTCTTCGTTCGCAGCGAAGCCCGTCAAGCAGGGATTCGCCAGCGCGTGTCTGCATAAGTCTGCTTTCCAATGCGGTGCCCCCTGTGCCCCCCCCGCCCTCCAGCGCATCTAGAAGAAGTTGGACAACGCTGTCGGCAGTGCTCCAGGTCCTGATGGGTTCTTGGATGCAGGCTCGAAGTGTCATCCTTATGGTGCGATCATCTTGGATCAGGCATTCTGGTGGTTCTAGGAATGGCCGAGTCTCTTGGGGGGACTTCGATGGCATCCGCGGCGCGTTTGTTCCAAATAGGAGAAGGGAAATCCGTTTGGCACGAGCTAAGAACACCTCGAATAAGGTCCTCGCGCTGGGGAGGCCACATCCGAGTGATTTCCCCCCGAGGGGGATCTCGTTCCAGGTCGGAATTTCAGGCACAATATGTTGGGACTGGATGCGCAAACCCGCGTTGCATCTGCTCCCTCGTCGCCTCTTTTCAGGTTGCCAGCTTTCGTCGCGTATACGGCCAGGCCTTCCAGTCCATTTCGCACGAAGGGATGTCTGTGGGATTGGGTTGGCTGGATCTTCCAGCCCCCGCTCTTGGCCTGTCCAGGTGTATCCACTAGAGCTTTCGGTGCTACGACGTGGCCTTGCACCTTCGCATCACGGCGTGGAGCATTGCCAGTGGGATGTTGCAGGAGAGCCCAGGCACTGGCGTCATCTACGCCGTAGCTTCTCACCCATTTATGCCTCGCCCCCGCCAGGCTGTTGATTTGGACTCGAGGCAGGCGGGCCTCGCTCGTGCATGTGCCGACGGCGTCGGCGAAGTGATCCAGGATATCCGCTGAGGAGACGTGCGCTGTGGCGTACGTGCAAAGAGGAGTAGGAGGAGTAGGGGGAGGACGAGGAGTAGGAGAAGGAGGAGGAGGACGAGGAGGAGGAGAAGGAGGAGGAGGAAGAGGGGGAGGAGGAGGAGGGAGGAGGAGGGAGGAGGAGGAGGAGGAGGAGGAGGAGGAGGAGGTCTTTGACATGATCAAGTCCGTGGCCAGCCTCGCGTCGAGGCTAGACCAGTGCTGTGTCGTCCCGCCAGCTGGCATGCACGACAAGTGGATGAGGGATGTTTGCCTTTAGTGTTGGGTCGGGCATGTCCATCTACAGGAGAAATTTTCAAGAATAGGAAAAACAGGGTGACAATCTCTTTTGACTATGAATGCCGAGTTGTTGATTACGTTTTAGCTTTCTTGCAGAATCCGCCTGTAGGAGGACATGCCCGACCTAACGTTAGTGGCTGCGCGTGAATGTTCTTGGGCGGGCTGACTTCCAGTTGGTCGACGCTGCCCTCTGCTCGGGGATCGTGGCTGGGCTAGCTACAGGAGATCGCAGTTGCCGCGGTCCTCATCCGGCACAGGTGAGGCGCTCCGCTCGGATCTGTGCTGCGAGTTGCTGAGCCGCCACCAGTGCCGACCTATCTCGCACGCCGTGCGCCTCAGTCCTCGCCCATGCCTCCCCGTTGCTCCCCGACCCTCCCCGTCCCGAGTGTCTCTCCTCGCCCGCGCTGTGCTGTGAACATGCCATCTTCACCACCTTCACCGCTGGTTTCGTGGCCCAGCTCCTGCCCCCTCTCCCAGGTTGGGAGACTACGGACCGTCAGATCATGACGCTCCTCTTCCCCGGCCCGCGGCGGTAGCTCTCCCTGGCGTTATTGAGGGGCTCGTCGCACTTCGGGATGGCTGGTGGCTTGGACGGCCTTGAACAGCTCTCCCTGGCAGCGCGCGCTCGTGTTTACCGTTACGAGGCCCGCAAGGGAGGGGGATTGCAGATAGAGGCACGGCGCAGGCGCCTCCTCGACGCCATGTCGCAGACCGAGCGGCTGGACCGTCTCGCCGTCTGGGACGGCAACGCCCTCTGCTGCCACGTCTGGGCGGCCGACGCCTTCTTCGTTCAGAGTGCTTTCCCAGCGGAGGTCGTCCAGGGCCGAATCCTCCAGCACGTGGATTCGACGGCGCTCATGGAGCTGCAGGACCGGTGCCGCAGGCGCTGGCAAGGGACCCTCCGAGATTTCCTTCGGCCGGCTGCCGACGAGCACGCCCTTTGCTTCTCCTGGCGGAGATTAGAACGATGGGACATCCGTGTCTGGCCTGGCCACCGGGCACAGCGCGCCCTGACCATGTTCAAGAAGTTAGTTGGGAAGATGCCCGCCCGTGTGCTGGCGGCCCTCTCCCGCACTCTGTTCAACGGTTGGTGCACGGCGCGCCGCTTCCAGCGCACGGCCTGGTGCATGTTCGGATGCGGCGGGCTGCAGCCCATCGAGCACTATTGTGCTGCCGGGCCGTGGACCTGCTTGCCCGCACTCGGCTTGCCCTCCCGCAGCACGGGGATCCCTTGGCGGAGTTCCTCGTGCTCTCCGGGATTGGCGCAGCAGAGGACGACGTCCTTGTCTGGCGAGCTGTGAGGACAGCAGCTGTCTACAAATTGCATTGCACGTTCCGCCACTCCACTGAGGCCGCTTGCGTGTCAGACGCGCTCACACAGGTGGCCCACGAGACTGTCCGCTGCCACCCTCGCGCTGCTAGGGCGGTCGGGCGTTCGTTTATTAGCTGATGTGTTGACTCGTCCTCCCCCTCGCTTCCTTTCTCTTGCTGCTGCTGCTGCTGCTGCTGGCCTGGTGCTCATGGCACTGCGGCGTCGTGCCTGCGTCGCTTGATTTAGTTCTCATGTTTCCGCGTGGGGCGCGGTATCCGGCCAGGTCGTTGACTTTGTCCCATGTTGTGCTGGATTTAGTTTGGACGCTTAGTCAACGCCCAGCAGTTTCCCCCATTGCCCGATGCGCGCCATGGCTCGCCTATTGCAGGTTGGCCTGTGCGCTGTTCCTGGTGCTTTGGGTTTCTCCTCCGCCTCTCCTTTGTCCTCCTCCTCCTCCTCGGCCATTCGCCTGGGCAATGATTGTCACGGACGGCTCCTTGAGTAGGCTCCTGTCTGCTGGGGGGAGAGCAGGACTTGTCCGCCCCGGCCGCTTCCTGTACAGAGTAATGGCGGGTCCTTCGGAGCTTCGTGGTTGCTGTCCGCTCGTTCCTCCCGCAAAAAAAAAATCAACCTTCCCGTCCCTCTTCGAAATACTCGTCGGCTGTCCGTCCCGAGCGGGACGGTTTGAAACTGATGCGCGGGGTGGCCCCATATCTCTACGGTGTTGGCGGTGTCCATGGCCGCGCTCCAACGAGTTGCCCTCGCCAAGTTTCCAGCGTGGCGTGTGCACGCGAGTCGTCTCGAGGCCGCCGCCTCGAACCTCGCCCTGCAGCAAGCTGCCCCCAGCTCTTCCAGCCCGAGTCTTTGGGTCGGGGGCCCTCTGGCTGTCCACCTGAAATTCGTTGCGGCTCGAACCCCCAATGGCGTCAGGCTGTTGCCTTGGGTTTGGTGCCGCTGTCCCGGCAAGCTGCTGGTCAAGCTGCTAGTGCTGATGTTGCTGCTCGCCCTTGGCAAGCGAGTCAAGATGCAAGGCCGAGCGACCTTGGCAATTCGAACTTGCCTGTATCCTGCTCGCCCGGAAACCCAGGTCCGAGCCCGATTGATTTCTGTGTGGCAGAAGTTGGTCCGACATTTGCCAATGCCGATTTCAGTGGGCACCGAGCTCTTATGAAGCTCATTCTCTTTCATGTCCCTCAAGCTCCATGGAAGACCCTCGGTGCCGCTTAGACTGCATTCGAGGGCATGCGCCGTGGATGTACATCGGGTTGTGGATGAGGCTGCGGTGGCAGCGTTATGCTGTGAAGTACCACTTCTCTCAGTTGTCTCGCTTCCGCACGCCATGGTCGCGCAATGTCGGCGATGGTATCCCATCCTTCCCTGTTGCCCTGTTCGCCTTTGTCGCCGTCCCTCCCTTCCCCGCCGTCCTGGAAGGACCTGCTGCTGCATATCTCTTGTGCGCGCCCGCCCGTGCGCGGCGTAAGTCGCGCGGCACGCCCCGCGACCCCCAAATTCGAGAGCTGGCGCCTCCGGCACGAGCCACGCTGCGGCGTGGGCGTAGCAGCAAGCGCCGCTGAGGAATCGTGCGCTGTGGCGTGCGTGCGATTTGGAGGAGGAGGAGGAGGAGGAGGAGGAAAAGGAGAAGGAGGATGGGGCCCTGCCGCGAGTCCCACTTCGAGGAGGACGGCTTCGTCATCGGGTGCCAGAACACGGAGTCTGCCGCGGGCCTCGGCAACTACGTGGCGCACTCCAGCTACCCCTGCACGCCGGGCGTCGATTGCAAGGATCTGCCGGGCCTCCAGAGGGACCGCCACAGGGGGCGAGGCCAGCCGCAGGGCAGTGCCCACTTCGATTCTGACGATCCGATCCGGTATCGATTCTGGTCGGCCCGATCAGACTCGATGTTGGCATTCCGACGCCCCGATGCGGCATGATGCTCGCATGACGCTGTTGTGCGTATTGGCGCAGCCGAGCCGGTTCGATTCCCAGGCAGCCTCTCTCCTTTCCGCTTCCGCGCGTGGGCGCGGCCTCACCCGTCTGAGTACGGACAACTGAGCATCGGGCAAGGAGTTCGCGCTGTGGAAGATCACTCCGTACCGATGCAGCCCGATCCGATGCACACTCCGATTCCTCGATCTGATGCTGGCCGATCCTGCCGCAGGGGCGCGGCAGGATCGGCGGGAAGACAGGGCCAGGGCGGAAGGCCCAGGAGGAGCAGGAGCAGGAGGAGGAGGGGGAGGAGGAGAAGGAGGAGGAGGAGGAGGAGGAGGAGGAGGAGGCGGAGGAGTGGGAGAAGCAGGAGGAGCGGGAGAAGCAGGAGGAGCGGGAGCAGCAGGAGGGTAGGATGGGGAGGAGGAGGAGGAGGAGGAGGAGGAGGAGGAGGAGGAGGAGGAGGAGGAGGAGGAGGGGGAGGAGAAGGGAGGAGGAGGAGGAGGAAGAGGAGGAGGAGGAGGAGGAGGAGGAGAAGCAGGAGGAGAGGAGGAGGAGGAGGAGGAGGAGGAGGGTAGGAGGGGAAGGGGAAGGGGGAGGAGGAGGAGGAGGAGGAGGAGGAGGAGGAGGAGGAGGAGGAAGGAGGAGGAGCAGGAGCAGGAGGAGGAGGAGGAGGAGGGAGGAGGAGAGGAGGGGGAGGAGGAGGAGGAGGAGGAGGAGGAGGAGGAGGAGGAGGAGGAGGAAGGAGGAGGAGGAGGAGGAGGAGGAGGAGGAGGAGGAGGAGGAGGAGGAGGAGGGGAGGAGGAGGAGGAGGAGGAGGAGGAGGAGGAGGAGGAGGAGGAGGAGGAGGAGGAGGAGGAGTGGAGGAGGAGGAGGAGGAGGAGGAGGAGGAGGAGGGAGAAGGCGGAGAGGAGGAAGAGACGGAGGGGGAGTAGGAGGAGGAGGAGGAGGAGGAGGAGGAGGAGGAGGAGGAGAAGGAGGAGGAGGAGGAGGAGGAGGGAAGGAGGAGGAGGAGGAGGAGGAGGAGGAGGGAGGGAGGAGGAGGAGGGAGGAGGGAGGAGGGAGGAGGGAGGAGGGAGGAGGGAGGAGGGAGGAGGGAGGAGGGAGGAGGGAGGAGGGAGGAGGGAGGGAGGGAGGAAGGAGGAGGGAGGAGGGAGGAGGAGGAGGAGGAGGAGGAGGAGGAGGAGGAGGAGGAGGGAATGCGGCTCGCGCCTCGCTGTCTGGCCGAAGAGTTGTCACTCGCGAGAGCGGGGGGGGGGCTGGCGCGAGAACGCGGAGCTGACCCGAAGTCGCGCTGGCGTGAGGCGCAGGAGGGCGGACGGGGGGTTTTCTGTAGCAAAGCAGGTCCTTCGGCGCGTCTTGGTGTATTCTTGGGGTGGGTGGGGGAGTATGTGGTGCCTCTTGATGGGAAATTAGGCCATCGTGCAAACCCTCGGAGGTCTTCCTAGGCGGGTGGCGGATACTTTGACCTTGAGACACCATTCCTCCCTTGGTGTTCCCTTTGGGGCTGGCCCGAAAGGAGGGAACGTGGTACTCCTTGCCAGGGCCCTGCCCAGACTACGACTTCGAGAACAAGTTCGACGGCTGCAACGTCAGTATGCCTGGTGGGCAGTGCCAGTTCGTGTACGGCGAGGGAGGTGGAGTGACTGGCTTTGACGAGGCACCAGTCACAGGGGAAAAGGATTGTACCTACTACGCGAAGTGGGCTGGGCAGGTCTGGCTCAACGAGCTCATCGGGCTCCCGGTCATCGACAACGTGCTGGGCAGTCCTTCCGCGGGCCAGAATATCCACTACCAGGCCTACACGCACTGGTGGACGCAGGGCAATTCGGAGTACGACGTTGCCTCGGACACAGGCCTCCTCATCCCCCTCCCTCCTCCTCGTCCGCCCCCTCCTCTGCATTTCCCGATGTCGCGAACAAAATTGCAAAATCGTCGAAAATCGCCATCGGAACCCTAGGCCACCTCTTTCTGCAGCGTTTTTCGCACCGGATCGAGCCGCGAGGGTCCCAGGGGGCCCGAAACGAGGAAAAATCGCCCGTTGCAAGCAAAATGCGACGCACGTGCGCCGAATGGCTGGCTGGTGATTCATCCTTTGCCTCGGTTGAGTCCCTTCCCCCTTTCCCCTGCTTGCTGCGCCTCTCCCCTCCGATGCGTCCACGTAAACACGACGAACAGTAATTAGTAGTATTGCTAGGACTGCGACCTCATGACTCGCACCTACAGCTTTCAGGAGATCAGGTTCCCCTGGAGGGCCACGGAGGGGCTCCTTTTCCCCTGCGTGGTCTTTCTTTGGGCCAGTGGGGTCCCCATGCAGAGCCGCTGGTAGGCGCTAACCCACAGGGTTCGCAGAGCCATCTTCCACATTATACATTTACTCGTATGTATCGTTTTTTCTCGCTGCCTGCAGCTCTCTCATTCGGCAAGACATCAAAGCATCGACTCGCAAGTGCTCTTGTCTTGTCTTGTCTTGTTGTCCTCTTCCTCCTCCTCCTCTTCCTCCTCCTCCTCCTCCTCCTCCTGAAGGGATACCGCTAGTCCGCGGCAGTCTTCAAGTTGCTTCTGGGGTCCCGCGGGCTTCGAGGGATCAGCAGCCCCAGCGGGGGTCCTCGGTGCGCCGAGCGGCTCGGCGAGCCCATCCTGTGTCGAAAGGATGGGCAAAGATGGAGAGCCCCAGAAGTGGCATTGCAAGACCTGCCGCCACCCGAAGTCTGGCAAGCCCTTTCTTCACTTCGCGGAGAAGAAGAAGTGCTTCAGCCTGCGGTCTCGCGAAGAATGAGGCAACGCCGTCCCAGCCGTGCCGTCCACGCGGGCGCCCTGGCTCAAGAAGTCGGAGGGCGCTGGCCCCTCGGCTCAGACGGCAGGGGATGGAGGGCTCGTCGCCAAGTACCAGGCGCAGGTCAAACGTCTGGAGGGCGAGCTCAAGAAGGCGAAGCAGCAGCAGTAGCAGCAGCAGGGTTCCATGCTGTGAGACGTCGACGATGAGTGCGAGGCTGTCTCGGACCAGGACCGCCTGGCGGCGATCGAGGCGGAGCTCCGCACCATCGCCAGCCTGAACGGCCCGACTTGGTCCAAGCTCAAAGGGGACTTGCGAGCTGAGCGGCAGGCGCTCGAGCAACGGCTTCTCGACGCCCAGCCTGTCGCTACTCGGCTCCGCACCCTCCTGCACAAGGTCGACGAGGCCGAGCGCCAGCTGGTCAAAGGCAAGAAACACCTGGAGACCTGCCGTGGGCGTTTGGTGGCCGCGGAGCAGGCTGTTGAGGAGGCCAATCTCCGAGGCAAGGAGAACGAACAGCTCCTTGGGCGCCTCAAGGCCCAGCAAGCCGCGCTGGCTGCTCAGGGCGTGGCCTTGGCAACTGCGGCGCCCTCGCAAGGCGAGCCAGCTGTGGCGCTCATCTTGCAGCTCGACTCGGAGAAGGTGCGGCAGCTGATGGTGCAAGGCTTGGACGAGCTTGGCGTCCAGGTGCCCGACTTGTCGCACTTCGCCGTCCAGCTGTGCGAGCGGGTCCCGCAGTGCTCGCAGCAAGCAATGGTGCGCCTCGATGCACCGGTTGGGCAGGCGCTGGCGGGCGCCTTTCCCGACCTGGAGGTGGCCGGTGGCGCGCGGCAGTGGTGCCTCAGCCAGAGTTGCCACTTGGCGTTGGGCCCGCCGCGGCGCACAAGGCCTGAGCGCCTTGCCGTGTCTGGAGGTGTGGGCCTATGCATAGGCATGCACATCGGCGTCTTTGGTGGCATCCCTGTCCCTGATGAGTGGAGCCACCGAGTAGTGGCCAGGAGGCTGCATCTTGGAGACGGCTCGGTACTTTTGGCGATATCCCTTTGCATGGTCACGTCGGTCGGCTTGACAAATTGACGGGAGACAACCTGACGCTCCTGCAAGCAGTGGCCAGCATCGTCGACCAGTGCCCGATTCCCTTTATCATAGGATCGCTGGACAGCGACTGGTGCGAAGAGGTGGGCGCCATCATCGTAAATGCTGGCATGCCGACTTGCGGTGATCACGAGTTCGACTGCTTTGTGATGTCGCGCTCGCTCGCGCACTTCGTGCAGACGCCTCTCGCCTATGCTGGAACTCCTGCTGGCGCACATGACCAGGTGTGCTGTTCTCTTGGGCAGATATGGCATCGGCCGACTGCGTGGGTAGAGGGCCCTCGACGCCATTTTGCAGTGGCGAAAAGGGTGGCCAAGGACGATGAAGTTTTTTTGTGCCGCAGCCGATTTCTGAGTTCCAGCTTGAACATGCAGAGCTGCTGGGGCCCATTTCTTGTATTCAGGCGGCCTCTGCTCGGTGGTTCGACCTGGCTGAATCGGCGCTGGTTCGAGCACAACAAGTTGATGGTACGGCTGCGCATTTGCAAAGTGGCCGTGGGATAGGCATTGGACTGGTCGAGAAGCCTCTCCTGGAGTTCAAGCACGGCGACAGCGGCGTCATGACTCCTCGGAATCGGAGGCCTGATGGAGCTTTTGCCGTCTGGCAGGCTATGCTCAGATGGGGCCGTGCAGCTCGAAGCTCTCGTGGCAAGCGGCAGGCGATTCGGGCTCGCCTCTTCCTTGAAGTTCATGAGCAAACGTTTCCAGCCGCTGTCAGTGGAGCCGAGGCCATGGGAGTCTCAGCCGTTGATAAGTGGCTCGGCTTGGCAGAGAGAGAGAGAGAACAGAGAGAGAGAGAGAGAGAGAGAGAGAGAGAGAGAGAGAGAGAGAGAGAGCCCTTTGGCGCCATGGTTTTCTCAGCTCCTGGACGCTGAGCTCGACGTGCGCAAGCGAGCTGACGCGGCGGCTAAGGCGAAGCTATGGCGTGAGTTTCGCAGCTCGGCTCTTCCTGGGTCTTGACGCATAGCGCGCGAGCTGATCGAGCCGATGGTAGTCGAGCCGCAGCCCGTCGTTTTTTCCTGAGGAGATCGATGCGCTGCCGCAGGTTGGCTCGCTGGCCGCGGAGGCCGTGCTGCAGTGGTGGCTGCCGCTCTGGGTGAAAAATGCCAGGGCGCTGGAGCCCCCAGCGGCGCCCTGGCAGGTGGAGCACGCGCTGGGGCCGATCAGTGTGAAGCAAGTTCACGCGGCGACGCTCTACTCTGGCCGTCGCAAAGGGCTAGGCTGGGACAACTTCCACCCGCGGCTCTTGCACGAGCTCTCGGACACGATGGTGACGCGCTTCGCGGCCATCCTTGGCGAGTTCGAGAGGGCGGCGATTGGTCCGGAGCTCTGGTCCACGATGATGATGTTCTTCCCGAGGGCGCCGCCTGATTTTGGGCGCAGGCCGATCGGGCTTTTGGCCTGATGGCCCCGAGTGTGGCCCAGAATTCGGCCGCCTCTTGTTCGCGCCTTGGAGGCCAGCGTGGACGCCAGCTTCTTCTGGGGCAAGTCTGGTGACACCGCCGCGGATCGCGCGGCCTGCGTCCACAACCTGCTGGTTGTTCACGAGAAGAGGCGCAACTTCGTCAGCGGCACGCTGTACTACGATGTGCGGAAGTCCTACGAGAACATTTCTCGCGCTGCCACTCGCGCAGCTGGCAGGCACTACGGCTTCGACGAGCAGTTGCTGAAGTGCTTGTGCGCGGTGTGCCGTGGACCACGGGGGGCCCGCTGGCTCGGGGCTGCCTCTCGGCAAGTGCTGCCGAATGGCGCGGTCGTCGCTGGCTGCAGCTGCGCGACTGGCGTCGTGAAGCTCATGACTGTGTGCGTTCTCAGACAGTGGCGATTGAGACGCCAGTATGTCGGCCGCTTTATCTTGTGGACGACTTGAAGATTCATGCGGTTGGCACGCTGCGCACATTGGCCCTGCATTTCGCCAGGGCTGCGGTTGCCGTCTCGACCGAGATGGAGGAACTTGGCCTGCCGCTCAACCTGGCCAAGACGTGCTTCCTCTGCTCGTGCCGAGAGCTGCTGGAGGCCTTGCTGGACGACGAGGACTGGCCTTTCGACGAGGGCTTCCTGGCCAGCGCTCATCGCGACTTGGGCGGTGGCGCTTCCGATGGCAGGGCGCGCCGCGTGCCTGTGCGCAATCGGCGCCTCTCAGCCGCGTCGGCCCCGGCGACTCGGCGACTCGGCTCTCCAAGATTGGGGGGGGGCGGGGGGCTTCTCGGGCGCGCGGGGCTGGGCCGGTCGCTAAGGCCGCGTGGGGGGCGCACATTAATGGTCTAGGGAATTCGGCCTTTAGGGCCCTCGGAGTTGCCTCGGCCAGGTCCTTCGGCCCCCTTCAGTCCGGGTCCTCCCTTGGCCCCGCCTTCCTCCACTCTGGAGCCCCGCAGCGAGACCCATTTGCTTCTGCGGCGGTGGATGCCGTCAAGACGTTCGTCTCGTTTGGGTGGCATCTCAGCGTCTCCAAGCAGGTGCCCCCAGTCGGCTTTCGAAGATGCGCACCTGACGGCCAGCAAGGCCAAGCGGTGGAGTTCGGCTAAGCAGCCCGCGGCGGCTCTTGCGCTCTCGCTTGGTCGCATAGGTTGGCGGCTGGATGTTCCCAATGCAGTTTTGACTGACCAAGCGGGTGGAGCGTGGAGCCTAGAAGCGTTTTCTCCTGTCTTCTTCTGTCTCCGTCTCCGGGAGGTGTGTGGGGGGGCCATTGTAATCGAAGAGCAGGATCGGCAGAGTGATTTCGGGCCTGAGTGGAGAGGCCCGATGCGCCGCAAACCTGCGCTCGATCTCCTCTCCAAGCAGAGTTCACCCAGTTGGCCGGATCACTGCCGTCATTGTTTGCGTAGCCTCATTGCGAATCGGCGTTGGTGTCAGCAGAGGTTTCACGACTCATGTCAGGATGTTTCTCCCGTGTGCTTGGCCTGCCGGGCCGCCCCTGGGACAACGTTCTTCCGTCGGTTCGAATGTGGCTGTCATGATGTTTGGAGAAGGGATGTGATCCGCCCTGAAGTTCGCAGGGCAGCGGATCGAGTCAAGTTGCTCTCGCCCAGAGCTCAGGAGCTCTTTGCCCGCCGCGCCCTTCCCGACCCCACCTGTTGGTTCGCCCGCCCCACTGGGCCCCCCGAGACCACTGTGTACAGGTACAATTGGCCTGCCGAAGGGCTGATCATAGGCGATGGGAACCACATCTGCATCGATGGCTCGTGTTACGAGCCAGCGCTCCCGAGGATCAGATCGGCGGGGTAGGGAGTTGCGGTGGCGGACGGTTGGGGAAAGGTGGCTCGTGCGATTTGGGGTCGCGTGCCCTTTTGTGATGATCCAGCCTGGGTAGCTCGGGGCGGCGACGACTGCGCTGCGCTATCGCTGGTGCGCCATGCTGCTGTCTTCCCTGGGGCCTGTCTTTGCGGAGACTGTTCGGGCACCTTGGGGCATGTCCAGGGCCCTCCAAGCGCCGTCAACCCAGATAATGCTCGGTCTCACTCGTGGTAGCACGTGCACGATAAGTTGGATGGAGTCTCGTGGTGCAAGGTCCCCGCCCATTGCGCCATTCGAGATGTGGAGAATGGTAAACTCAGTAGGCTCGAGTACTTAGGGAATCGAGCTACTGATGAGTATGCACAGGAAGGCGCCGCTCTAGGTAGGATCCCCGACCCCGATCGGCTTGTCGTCGAGGGGTGCCATGAGTTGGCCCGTTTGTTGTGTAAGTATTCGGCGGATCAGCAGGCTCGGATCGGTGACTGACAGGAGTTTGATCATGTCGGCCTCGAGTGGCTCCGTCACATCTCCCTTGGCCTCCCTCCTCTCCCTGAGGGTCTTCCTGCCGCTTCTCCTCCTCCTCCTTCCCTCCCCAGCTCTTGGCGGGGGGCGGGGTCGGAGCTCGTGGGCGGGGAGAGGGACTCGGATGCGACCGCTCCTGTCGAGTGGCCAGAGCTTTCGGTCTGGCCCGCTCTGGGACATGCGGTCATTGAGGCGCAGGTCCAAGATGCGGAAGGACGCGATCGAGGTTCGATCGCTTTCTGCACGACCTGTGGCTCGGTGTGCGCTGTAGGAGGACACGGGGGAAAACAGCTCTCGCGTCGGATTGTGTTGGGCACCGCTCGTCGGGCCGAGAGCGGCAATTGGGTTGGATTTCGCAAGGTCGCCACCCGTCCAAGAGTGGCTTTCGTGTGTCCCGAGCGTCTGTGTTGTCGGACCCCGCTCGTGACTTCTTGGCGTCGAAGATGTCTCTCGACGCCGTTCCGTCGCTCGCGCCGCCGCCGTTCAGAGGTTCTCTGGCTGCCTCTTTTCTCGGGGGAGTGTGGGGGCGGCGAGATGGTCGGGCACTGGGGTCGACCTTCATCGAGGCCTTCCGATCTCGGGATGAGGCTGAGTCTCTCGGTCTTCGAGCGCGGGAGCGCGAACGGCAGGTTGTGCCGCCCGAGGAGGATAATGGCCCCTCCTAACTCGTTGGAGTCTGTGTGCCTTGTGATGCATGTTTCATGTGGTGGCACCCTCCTAGCCGCTGCCGAGCTCCTCCGATTTGTTTTTTTTGGCGCGGCGCAAGCAGCCTAGCCTACGGCCGTTTGATATCTATGTGTGAAGAAGACGGGCAAGTTCCTTCGAAGCCTCGTGGAGCGCTATGGATTCTGCTGCAAACGCGCTACAAGGCGGGTGCAGAAACGTGCCGTGCACCATCAGGGGCTCATACGTGTAGCTTCTTGGCCCTCCGGCCCACAAGCCGATTATCCATGCAGCTGCGGCGCGGTCGCCTTCCTGGACGCCGCCGTCGGTCTGTATTGCTACACTCGCGCTACTCACTTTCAGAGCGGTGGCGAAGACTGCGGACCAAGACCGCTTGAGGTCCATCGCGTGGTCCGCGAGTCCGTCTGCCACTTTATTGTGGCAGCGCCTCCACCATTGCACTAGGTCCTGGTGCGTCTGCGGAGGGCACCAGCCGTGTTGGATGTGGCCCACAACTCGATCTAGCACTCGAGTGAAAAGGGCTTCGAATTTAGGGTCACGTAATTGCGCGCGGCCACAAACAATTTGCTCTATTATTTGTGAATATGTAGCATATATATATATATATATATATTATACATACAGACATACATACATACATACTTACATACATACATACATACATAATTATATATGTATATATACACAAAACGACGCTCAGATGATCCCCGCAAAACTTGAGAGGCAACTGTACCTAACAATTCCTCCTTGGCGGGTATACTGCTCCAGAAACCTATCCGATGTTTGCCCTTAGACGTCGGACCCTTGCGCCTCTTAGAAGCCAGTTCCGTGGCATCTTCTTGAAGGCCTTCGTCCTCGCTCCAGCTGCACAGCGCCAGCTTCCAGCGCCCGCACGCGTGAGCAAGAAATGTTGGTAAGCGTCGCCTCCATTCGGTCAGCGTCAGCTGGTCCCGCTCCAGCCGCCACGTTGGGCCCATGAAATCGACGAGTGGGTCCTCCCATGCTGCCCTCCTTCCCCAGGCCCACTGTGCGAGCCCCTCGAGTCTACGACGCTTCGCAGGAATAGTTTTCACGCACTCGCAACAGTCACGTGCATTGAACTTCCTCGTTCCGCCAACCATGTCGGAGTCGCGCTCCCAGTACGCCTCGTTGAACGCCGACGTCAATGCTGCCACGTGCACCGGTACCTTACCACTCTTCGCAAAATGGTCCTTGATTCGAGCCGCAGTGCGCTGGAGGTTCTCGTCGTAACGCTCTCCGGGCCGACGTCGGAGTCGAAGTGCTTTGCGTAACCACTTAAGTTCCCATGTCCACATTTTGTGCAGAAGTTCTGCTGTCAAGTGCCAGATCGCTGAACCATGTAGCATAGATGCCCTGGGCCGCCGGCACCAAGCACTCAGCTTTTCCCATGCCAGCGCCAGGGCGCCAAATGTCTTCACGTTCGCCCAATTACTGCCCTCCGCCTTGATCATTCTGTGGTCTATGCTGCACGCCGTGCTGCCGTGTTCGTCAATGCGCTCGCCTAGGATGAGCATGTGGCGAACAATATCGAAAGGAAGAACCGCGCCGTCAATCCCCAGACTTTGGACTCCTTGGATATCCTCTGGACCGCTGTCCCCTCCAGCCATGACTTGTAGCGAAAACGGCTTCCATGTAAAACATCCCCCAAAGATGGCCGCAGTGGCTTCGGCGATCATGGTGTCCAGCTCTTCCCGGGAGGCAGCTAATCCTCCTCCTCAAGCACTCGGGGCCCAAGGCGTCGATCTGTTTTTTGCTCAAGCGCGTCATGGGTCCTGCCCTGCCGCCTCAGCGCGGCGTGCTTGTGGCTTCTCGCAATTCTGGATGCTAGACAGCGTCTGTTCGCATGGAGGCGCGGGTCGGCTAAAAGCGGGGCGAGGTGTCAAAATCACGCTCAAATCCAATCAATGGGTGCATGCCACTTGTCGCACTTTTCTGGCGTTCGTGGATGTCCATGGGATGTTGGGTTCATATTCCCCGATCTGCGAGGCCTTCAGAATGCGTGAGGTGGTCAAGCTTGTGTATTTCTATGTCTGTACAAGCTTGTTTAGTATTGTGCCCATGGGATACCCACAGGGGTCATCATACCCACAGGGTATTGCGGCACTCGTGTACCTGCTGTACCTTCACATGTTGCGCTTATAAACTTCAATAGTTTGAAAGCTCTGGTGATCGGCGTCGGTACCGCTCTGCATCTTTCAAGGTTATGGCTATTTGTGACTGCTGTGTTGCAAGTTCCGTATCAGTCACTTGTGCATGTTTCCGGCAGTGGTTTGGAGATTTCGTTTTCTGGTGTACGCGGGAGTCATGTGATTCCCCTGCTTGGAACTGGGCTCCGTGGTTTGTTGGCATCCATGAGTGCTGGGTACGTGCTTCAATCGGTCGTGGCTGCAGTCGCTTGTACAGGCTGTCTTACCGAAGAGGTCGTGAGGTCGTCCCTGGGGTGCACGCGGGGTTTTTACTCTGGTATGGTCTCCAAGTCAGTTTGCCGCCCGTATTGCGCAGCCTACATGCAGCGCGTGGAGTCTAGCATGGTCGCTGTCCTCTTCCTTCTCCTCGTGTCGCTGGAGGCTGGAGATGGTCAGAGAGCGGAGTCGTATGGATTTGTGAGACTTAGTCCTCAGGCATTCCCGTTCCCATTCCTCCTCCTCCTCCTCCTCCTCCTCCTCCTCTGATTTTGCTGTTCGTCCTCCTCATGCTTTTCCGAGGCCTCCACACCGAAGGGACCGACTACGACCCCGACCCTTACGGGGAGGCCGCGGCTGGCACGCCACAGCCAATCGGAGGCAAGCAGGAGATCTTGTACGATTTCTGGGGCGGCCGCAACGATCAGCAGAGGTGCGACGAGAGGCAGAGAATCATCGAGGACTACGGTCGGTCGGGCACCAGTGTGGGTCAGGGGGGGAAGCCAGACAATGATAGAGCACGGCCCCCCAAAGAGCCCAAGACCGGCCCAGAGCCATCAGTACCCAGTGATCCTGAATTTTCCTGGCATCGTTCGGACGTGTGCGTTCTTCTCGGTGAGGACCATCGAGGAGCATATTGGATCATTTTGCGACAAATAAATAAAGGACGACACCGACAAATGGACGGGGAATAGACGTCCGAGCGATGGCAAGCGTTTGTTTATCCTCTGGAGTGGGCCCCTGGACCTCCTCGGCGTCGCGCAGATGGCGGCATGGCGGGTGGGGGGGTCGGGGGCACCGCTGGGGGGGATGCATCCACCCCCAAGCGCTTGTTCCTCGCCGACTGGGGCCTGATAGCCCAACTCGCTTGGGAACGCCCGATTTCACAATCGAGAGCCCATCGCCGACCTATCGGCGATGGGCGATGTATCGCCGTTTCAAGCTCGGGGTCCCCTCCCCCCTCCTTGGCTGCCAGGGGAAGGGGGGGAGGGGCGGCCTTCTAAGAAGCCATGGGTCGGGAGCCTTGAGACGGGGGTCAGTGCAAACGGGGGTCAGCCAGAGCGCCGGATCTTGCATGATCCTGCAGAGCCAGGGGTGCAGTGACCCGGGTTAGCGCGCAGCATCCTGCAGGATCCTGCAGGATCTTCCAGGATTCTGCGAGGCCTGACTGACCCGGGTGTGTGCTGACCCGAGTCAATGGGGGCCCGAATGGGGGCTTCTTCGAGGCATTTCCGACTGTCGAGAAGCCCGCCTTCCCAGGTTCGGATCCTTTGCAGAAGCCCACTGCTTTCTCAGAGGCCCACCCCTTCGCCCCGCCACCTTGAAGCGCCGCCAGAAGGAGGAGGGGAAGGAGAGAGAGGAAGAGGAGGAGGAGGAGGAGGAGGAGGAGGAGTAGCGTTGTGGTGGTGATGACGATGACGATGACGATGACGATGACAATGATGAAATTGATGATGATGCTGATTATGATGATGCTGATGCTGATGCTGCTGATGATGATGATGATGATGATGATGATGATGCTGATGATTATGATGATGGGGATGAGGAGGAGGAGGAGGAACAGGAGGAGGCGGGGGAGGAGGATGATGATAATGAGGAGGAGGATGCGCTGCTGCAGCTGCTGCAGCCGCTGCTGCTGAGGAGAAGGAGGGGGAGGAGGGTTATGGTGGTGGTGACGATGACGATGACGATGGCGATGACGATGATGATGATGATGATGATGATGATGAGGAGGAGGAGGATGATGATGATGATGATGATGACGATGATGATGATGAATCTGATGATAGAGATGATGATGATGACGATGATGATGATGATGATGATGATAATGATAATGATGATGATGAAGATGATGATGATGATGATGATGCTGATGATGCTGATGATGCTGATGAAGATGATGATGATGATGATGTTGCTGATGATGATGATGATAGTGGTGGTGGCGGTGGTGATGAAGGTGATGTGGATTTATGGTGATGGTGATGGTGCCGGTGATTGTGATGGTTATGTTAATGATGGTGATGATGATAATGCTGATGATGATGATGAAGAGGAGGAGGAGGAGGAGAACGAGGAGGAGGAGGAGGAGACGCTGCTGCAGCTTCTGCTGCTGATTATGATGATGATGATGATGATGATGAGGAGGAGGAGGAGGAGGAGGAGGAGGAGGAGGAGGAGAATCCCAACGGACCCTGAATCGAGGACCTCTTCGACTCGAAGTTCCCGTTCTATCCGAAGACGGCGGAGCTGGGTGAGGCACCACCGTGCGACGCGAAGTGACGGACGGCTTTTCCCCTCTGCGGCGCTACTGCCTCACACGCTCTTCAAGCTGTCCTCTCCTCCCCATCCATCTTCAGGGGCGTTGGGCGGAAGGCTATCGAAGCTTGCGATCGCGAGTGCTCGGACAGAGACGAAGGTGTCGAGTCCGAAGTTGATGTTATGCTCGTAACTGAGGCTGGACCTCGCCTTTAGAGCAAACCCATGCTATTCCATACCATCTCATACCACCCATAGCATCTTCAGAGGCAACGTCAGGGGGGGACCAGACCCGGACATGCTGGCGTCGTGAACAAAATCGCGACGGAAGGTTTTCGCACGTTTCCAGTTTCCCAGGACTTTCAAAAACGACTCGGGACGAAACAAACGACCTCGGGAAGAGCAGCGGTCAGGACTTCCGGAGGACCTGTACCGAAACAATCAAGACATCGGAAGCTTGGGGACTTACCCTCTGATCGGAGGCTGTCCGAAGTTCTCGAAAGCTTTCGAGGCCCCTGGGTAGTTTCTACAAGCTGCCCCCCCGTCGACAGCGTCCAGTGGTTGCCCAAGTCGTTCCGAGCGGCTGCCAGAGACCCAGGTTGTGACCCGAGAGCCAGGGAGCGAAAGATCAAGGACGCGTGATGTTGCCACTGTTGATGGTCGGCTGCTGCTGCTGGTGATTGTGGTGATGATGACAAGGGTGGTGGTGGTGATGGTAATGATGATGGTGATGATGATCATGATGGTGGTGCTAGTGATGGCGCTGGTGATGGTGATGCTGATGATGGTGGTGGTGGTGGTCATGATGCTGATGATGATGGTGATGATGATCAAGATGGTGGTGATGGCGACGGTGATGGTGTTGGTGGTGGTGGTGCTGGTGATGGTGATGGTGATGGTGCTGCTGATGGTGATGGTGGTGGTGATGGTGATGGTGATGGTGATGGTGATGGTGATGGTGGTGATGGCGATGGTGATGGTGATGGTGAGGGTGAGGGTGACGGAGATGGTGATGGTGATGGTGGAGGGAGCCATCGCCCCCCGATCGCCCATTCCTTTCGCCCATCGGGGCTCGGGCGCCGCACCACGCCCGAGAACGCGCTGTGCTGCCCCATCGGGGGCCTGTCGCCGACCTATCGGCGATGCCTCGCCGATTCCACGTCATTGTCACCCCCCCGACGACGATGACGACGACGACGACGACGACGACGACGACGACGACGACGACGACGACGTTGACGCCGATGCCGACGCCGACGCCGACGCCGACGCCGTCGCCGATGCCTCAGCAAGTCCCGCCACTTCCGACCCCCCCTTCACTCCATCTCTCCCCAGGTTCCATCTCGATACGACCAGTCCGACATTACGGCCAGAACGTTCTGATTCGATGCCGATGCTCCGACGATCCGATGCGGCACGATGCCTGCATGGCGCTGTCGTGCATCCTGCCGCAGCCGATCCGGCTTCGACTTCGACTCCGTGCCGATGCAGCCCGAACCGGCGCAAATTTCGCTTCGATCCGACTTCCCGATTCGGCGCTGACTGATCCTGCCCCTCTCCCAGGCCTCCAAGGTCTTGAAACAGCTTGGGAGACGGCGAGGAGCCGCACAGGAGCCTGACATGCGATTCCCGTGCGGCAGCTCGATTCGACCCGATTTCCCGCCTTGGTGCTGACTGACCCAGACCCCCGCCGTCGTGATTTTTCATGATGCCGACCCCCAGAGGTCTGGACCCCTTCCCCAGGACTTGTTTTTCATCCCGAGTCGTTTTTTGACGGCCCCCAGGCCCCGTAAGGGCCCCCGGAGGCCGAAGATAGCGAAAAACCTCCGACGTGATGTTTTCACAACGCGAGGGGGTCTGGGGACCCTGCCCCACTTCCAGACCTCCACTGTCCCGAAGCGGCCTGCACTCCCAGAGCGCCTGGCCTCCCCCTGGGAGCGCCGCTTCGGGCCCCCGGGGCCGTCGCACATATCGCGGGGACGAGGCGTCGGGCCCCTGGGGGGCGGGGGTCGAGGCTGCCGCGGCCCGCGTGGGAAGCAGGGGCAAGGTCTGGGGGGGACAAGGCCCAGGGGGGGGGTTCTGTGCATCAGGAGGGGGCTGGCTCAGGAGGGGTGGGTCATGCTCACCGATCGCGGTCCACTCCTCGCAAAGTGCCGATTCGCAGGCGTCCGAAAAACAAGCGTATGCCTCGATGTAGTGGATCTCACATTTCCCTCGGCGGATCCAGGCCATTTGCGAGTAGTTACTTTGCGAGTAGTGGAAAGCGCTTGTCTATATATGCATCAAGATCAGGCCGAGGGGGCTTCTCGAGGTCTTCGGGCGTTTTCCCGTGAGCTGCGGCTTCCACCGGCTGCGAAGCGCGGGCCCCTTGCTTCTTGATTTGGAGTGTCGACGTCGGGGGCCTGGGGTGTCGGGAACCTTTGGCTTAGCGTGTCGCTCAGCCAGTTCTGGCCCGCCACGCCGCGGCGCGCCATGCTGATCATCCACGCCCCCCGCCCCCCAAGCGTCGACGTTCCGAGCTCCGAGCCTCCCGCCCCGTGGAGCGGAGTGACACGCTGTCCGCTTGCACGGCATAGCTAGTCGCCGGGGCCGCCGCCGCCGCCGCGACACGCTAAGCACACGTTCCCGACCGTAGGGTCCAGTCTCCTCCTCGCTTCAGCGCCCCACCCCGCTGCAGCCGTGAGTGCGGACAAAGATGCCGAAGGCGCGGCGGCCATTAATCTCTCAGGTGTGTGGGGCGAGTAGCTTTCTCTTAGGCTGTGGGGCTGAGTACTTACTTGATTTGTTCTTTGTGCACCCCTACAGCGCCTGAAGGCTTGAAGCCAGCAGGTTGACCGGAGGGTACCAATTGGCGTCAGGCGCGAGCGTGTTACGGCCTAATTAGCGCTTGTTTCCACGCGTGCCGCCATCCCAACGGGTTTTCCAACGAATTTTCATGGTGATGCTGACCTTGCGTGCGCGAGAATGCTCAGCATTCGGATAAGCGCTATGAGACAAAATCGCCCAAGAGAGGCCGTGCAGGGCTTCATGTTCTTCTTCTTCTTCTTCTTCTCCTCCTCCTCCTCCTCCTCCTCCTGGACGTCATCCTTCTCTTCATGCCCTTCTACGCATCCTCCTACGCATCCTATGCCTCATCGTCCTCCCCCTTCTCTTCCTCCGCTGCCAGCGTGTGTCTGTGAGTGTCTGTGTGTATGCTTCCCCAAGTTCTTCTTGCACCGAGGGGCTCTTCCTGCATCTTCGAGAATTCGCTGGTTGTGCCCTACCCTCCGCGGAAGTGGACCGCAGCGGACACCAGAGCTCCGGTGTCCGCTGGAGCTTCTGTGCAGTCCTTGTGCTCTCTGGTGACTGGCAGCCTGGGTTTTGGTGGCTTCTGGTGCGTGGCACGCTCTCCCTTGGCTGCTGGGGTTCCTGTGTACGTCGTCAAGAAACGATGGCGCCGTCTTGACGACAAGACGATTTCGGCCTAATTCACCTCGTTCTTGTGTATTGTTATTTCTAGGAGGAATATTCAAGAATAATTTGAGGGAGTTTCTGTGGAACTCACGTCATCCTCACCCCCGGCGCGAAGAGCACGAGCCCAGAGCGGCCTCCGGCACCGTTTCCGGACGGATCCGCTGGATCCGCTGGATCCGCTGGATCCGCTGGATCCGAATCCGATCCCAAACCGGCGCCCTCGCCTGAGACATCCTCACAAAACGGGCCCCGGGGGGGATGCCCAGAGGAGCCCAGAGCGGCCTCCGGCACCGTTTCCGGACGGATCCGCTGGATCCGCTGGATCCGCTGGATCCGGTGACGAATCCCAAACCGGCGCCCTCGCCTGAGACATCCTCACAAAACGGGCCCCGGGGGGGATGCCCAGAGGAGCCCAGAGCGGCCTCCGGCACCGTTTCCGGACGGATCCGTCCGCTTCCGCTGGATCCGGTGACGAATCCCAAACCGGCGCCCTCGCCTGAGACATCCTCGGGCCCCGGGGGGGATGCCCAGAGGAGCCCAGAGCGGCCTCCGGCACCGTTTCCGGATCCGGGATCCGCTGGATCCGCTGGATCCGGTGACGAATCCCAAACCGGCGCCCTCGCCTGAGACATCCTCACAAAACGGGCCCCGGGGGGGATGCCCAGAGGAGCCCAGAGCGGCCTCCGGCACCGTTTCCGGACGGATCCGCTGGATCCGCTGGATCCGCTGGATCCGGTGACGAATCCCAAACCGGCGCCCTCGCCTGAGACATCCTCACAAAACGGGCCCCGGGGGGGATGCCCAGAGGAGCCCAGAGCGGCCTCCGGCACCGTTTCCGGACGGATCCGCTGGATCCGCTGGATCCGGTGACGAATCCCAAACCGGCGCCCTCGCCTGAGACATCCTCACAAAACGGGCCCCGGGGGGGATGCCCAGAGGAGCCCAGAGCGGCCTCCGGCACCGTTTCCGGACGGACGACCTGATCCGCGCCTGGATATGCCGACGGGGGCGAAGGAGGAGGAGGAGGAGGAGGAGGAGGAGGAGGAGGAGGAGGAGGAGGAGGAGGAGGAGGAGGGGGAGGGGGCAGGCGAGGGAGCCCCGGCCCTGGGGGAGGGGCCCTGAGGGAGCCCTGATGGGCTTCCGGCACCATGGAGAGGTCCTGTGGGGCGGCCGCCCCTTCTTCTCTCGGTCGTTTCCCTCTCGCCCAGAAGCGCGCGCCCCTTCTTCTATATATACAGAAACTCCCGATCAACCGCAGAGCGGCGGATGTTATAAGATTGTTGTCAGGTGACGATTTCTTGCAAAAAACTAGGACCATTATGGTTTGGCGATTCTTCATTTGTCTTCCCACATCCGCCTGTAAGAGGACATGCCCGACCTAATCCTGAGCCTGGGCCGCCACACGCCGACAAGACCTGCACGGTCTGAAGGGGCCGCTTTCCTCGCCCCTCCCTCCGCAGCCGCCTCCCTCAGCAGCACTGCGTAACTTCTTCGGGTTTTGCCTCGGGAGCGTGAGCAGCCCTAATGGATGAAATTTGGCGACAGGAGCCGATGCCCAGAGCATGCAGTGAGTAGATTCAGACATGTGGAGCTCGAACGGGTAAGGCAGACAGACAGACGCGGCCGCCTCCTGTTCGCCTGTGCCTCTTGCAGCGCAGCGCTTTGCTGCACCGTAGCCCTGTGCGCGCCCGACCGATCCGCGCGCCCTCTACGAGGTGCATCTTGTGGTTTCCTGCGGTTTCCTGTGGGCGGCGCGCATTTGCCGTGTGGCCGCTCGGACGGCCGCTCGGACCGCTACAGGTCTGCACATTGAGGCGGCTTTCCACGTATCGGGTTCCGCGTACGGGGCTTCCACGCGTTGGGCTCCACGCGCGGGGCTGCACACGCAGGGTGACACACGGATCGTTCTGCACAGACCTGGCTCTGCTTACGTTGGGCTCCACACACAGGGACCCACACCGCGTAGGGCTCCGCGTACACATGGTTCCACACAGGGGCGTCCGAACACAGTGCTGCACGAGTCATCTCCTTTCGGTCAACGTGTTGCCGGCACTTCATGTCCACATGGGCAAGAATGACGACAACCAGCGCCAGGTCAAGCGACGTTGATGGTGCACATGACTCACTGCATGGCGACACCTCTACAGCCTTTCGCTGGCAAAGCTCCGATTTCTCTGGAGCGCTGCCATACAGTTCTTAAAGCCATCAATGGTTCATTATGGCGATGAGCGTCTACGTCGTCGGCGACGCAGAGACGGTCGAGAACCAATGACGCTTACACCAGGGCCCCATACTACGCATTCGAGAGAACAAGCAGCAAGGGTTCTAGGACCAGGACATGCAGCAACCGCATCCGAACAGCCTTGACTTGAACCTCCCATTAGGTCTCTCGCAGCGGCCAAGCCCCACCCGACAGACAGTGAGGTCATGAGAGAGCCCCACCAATCACGTCAGATCACCCTATCGAGGATGCACAGATGAATCTGGCATACTTCAGTGACCTTCTCCGCATGCAGTTTCTCAACGCCACGGCAACTTCTTCAAACGGCACTCTGCAATGCGATCGGTGGCGCGCCCAGGGAGGAAATGGGCGCGGGGTTTCTCACAAGCCTTCGCGCCTTCTGAGAGGCCGCCTGGAGCTTCGGAGAAGGCCTACCAGGCTTCCCAGAAGACCGGAGGCCTTCAGAGCCTCGTGAGAATGCCCGCCCTCTCTGCCTTCCCCCCTGGGCGCGCCGCCAAGTTTGCTTTTCGGGTCCTGGCTCGAGCGTCTGGCGGCCGTTCGGGACGATCAGGGCACCCTCGGAGCGCTCTCGGCGGTGCGCAGCTGCCCGAAGACGCCCCCGAGGCTGGAGAACCTTTTGGAACCGACGAGAACGCCAGAAAACATCGAAGCTCCCCCCCGGAGCGCACCGCCAACGAGACCTTGAACGGGAACGGCACGTGTGGGCACCACCTGCACGGCAGGGCGCTCCAGGCGCACGTCGCGGCCAGGCACGGCACGACACCCATGCACGGCGCATGGCGCGGCACGGCGGCACGGCATTGCACGGCACTCTTGCTGCCCCACCGACGGGGAAGAGGAGAACGCTGAAGAGGCGGCCGCGGAGGAAGTGGAGGAGCAGGGGGAGGAGCAGGAGGTGCAGGGAGGAGGAGGAGGAGGAGGAGGAGGAGGAGGAGGAGGAGGAGGAGGAGGAGGAGGAGGAGGAGGGAGGAGGGAGGAGGAGGAGGAGGAGGAGGAGGAGGAGGAGGAGGAGAGGAGGAGGAGGAGGAGGACCACAAGCGGGGGAAGAGAACCATGATGGTGAGGAGGAGGAGGAGGAGGAGGAGGAGGAGGAAGAGGAGGAGGAGGAGGAGGAGGAGGAGGAGGAGGAGGAGGAGGAGGAGGAGGAGGACGACGACCATCCTTTGGAAAAGGGGGTGGGGCATCCGAAGCTACCCCAACCCCTCCCCCCTTTTTTAAAGTATTTTTTAGCTGGGGGGCCCTAGCTGAAGGGGGGGGCTTGGAAGCTACACCCCCCTTCCCCCCTGTCGGGGCCCGGGGTAAGCTCGGGCTCTCTTTTCAAAGAGGTAGGGGAAGGGGGGGGGCTTCCGAAGCTACCCCCCCCCTTCCCTCCTTCTGTTGGCTTTTCCAGCCGGATGGCCCTGGCTGAAGGGCCCCGTTAGTTTGCGGCGTATTTGTGGTTTTCGATATCTCTTTGGTTTTCGCCGCCTTTTTGGTTTTCGGTGCGTTTTCGGCCTGTGGCGCTTCCTTGGCTTTCGGCGCTCCTTTGGTTATTGTTTTCGGCGCCCCCTTGGTTTTCGATGCCATTTTTGGGCTTCTGCGCACCCGTTTATGGCTTTCGGCGCATCGTTGGTTTTCGGCATCTTCTTGGGTTACGGCGCTCCTTCGGTTTTCGGCGCCCTCTTGGTTTTCGGCGCCGTTTTGGCTTCGGCGCGCTTTTGATGTTCGACGCCCCATTGGTTTTCGGCGCTCCTATGGTTTTCATGACATCTTGGGTTTTCGGCGCCGTTTTGGTTTTCGGTGCCCTTTCGGTTTTCGTCGTGTCTTTGAATGTTTCGGCGCCCTCTGGTTTTTGTACCCTTTCGATTTTTGGTGGCTCTTTGGTTTTCGGCGCTCTGTTGGTTTTCGGCGCTCTTTTGGTCTTCGGCGCTCCTTCCTTTAGCCACGGGGGGGGGCTTCCAAGCCCCCCTCTCTTTTAGCCCAAAAGAGGCCAACATGGGTGGGGGGGCTTCCGGCAGGGAAGGTTCAAAGGGGGAGGGGGGGGGGGGCGGCTAAGCCCCCCACCTACTTTGGAAAGGGAGGGAGCGGGGGGGTGCTTCCAGAGCGCAGTAGGGGGAGAGGGGGAGGGGAGCTTCCGAGGGGCAGAGAAAAAAGAAGGGGGGGGGGGGGGCTTTCGACAGGGAAGGTTCAACGGGAGGGGGGGTAGATAAGGCCCCCCCCTCCCTTGGCGGACAGGGAGGAGGCGGGGTAGCTTCCGGAGCGCGAAAGGGAGGAGGGGCGTAGCTTCCGAGGGGCGGAAAACAAGGAAGTGTGGGGGGGGGCTTCCGGCAGGGCAAGTCCAAGGGGAGGGGTAGTTACGGGGGGACCCCCCCTCCCTTCGGGAGTGCGCCGCGGG